TGTAGGTGTGTGGGAACAATGGTGATAAAATTGAAGATACTCAATTGCTCTAGCCACACTTGATATGGAATGGGTAACCTCTAAGCTTATTTTGATTATCTTGCATAATTGGTTGCTCATTTAGTTTAAGCATGCATGAGTTTTGATTTTAAATAATTTATGTTTTCTATCTCGTGTATGTTAAAAAGTGTTGTGATGAACATTTTCTAAAGTTTTAATGATTTTTCATAAATGTTTGTTCATCATAATGAATTTTGGTCAAAATTGGTTTTAATGCTTTGTTTTTACAAATTTTAATTTTTGACCATAATTTAAATGTTTATGCATGTATTTTTTTTTTTTTTGCAAATGATATCTCTCTAACAATTGATATCAATTTTTCAAATGCATAATATTATTGGATAGCTTTATGCGTATGCACTTAAATATAACAATTGGTATTGAATAAAATATATTAGATCTGGATATATTGAATTTCTTGTGCTACTAACTTGTTGGTTCGTCTTTGCTGAAATTCAATCTCTTTTAAGTATCAAGCTTTTAAAGTCAAATTTTTGTTTGGAATGCTTTTGTTGAGGGGGAGCTTTTGATTTTTCAAATAATTTTAATGCTAAGATTCTCTACTTACTCTCCATTGTTATTTTTGAACCTAAAGTTTGAATTATTTTTTATATAACAAAAAGGGGGAAAAGTATAGGTTTGAAAAATTCAATCTCAATAATGAAAAAGGAGGAGCTTTAATATTTTCTAAAATATTTCTCTTTTTCATTAAATGTTTTGATAAGTGGGAGCTTTTGCCAAAAAAATTCAAAGCTTTTGTTATATCAAAAAGGGGGAGATTGTAGAACTAATATTTTGATAAATAAAATAAGGGATAAATGTTTTTAGACTAAATTGAATTTATTCAAAGTTTTCATCAAAATAATTCAAAGTCCAATCAAAACCTCAAAATATGTATTCTTACAAGAAGTTTTGAAATTTCTACAAGAGTTTCGAAACTTTCCAAGACAGTTTCCCGAAAAGTTTGATACTTTCCAATAGTTTCGAAACTATCTTAAGAGTTTAGAAACTTTCATTAAAGTTTCAATACTTTGGGTCCAACGGTCATATTTTTCAAACAACGCTTTCGAAGAGTTTTGAAACTTTATATGCAAAAAGTCTTCCAACAGCTCCAAACCTTCCCAAACGGTTAGAAACGACTAGTAACTCATTCCAACATATAAAAACAAGTTGAGGACACTTGAAGAAGGTGAACAACACATATCCAAGCAATCAAACACAAGAGAAGAGTTCTTCAATCTTATTTTTCTTTCTCTTGTAAATATTAGTGTTTTAGTGAGCTTAAACTTTGTAAACACCTTTTATGGGTTTTCTTGTTTACATCTCTTATCCTTTGTAAAGGGGTTTTGGTTCTAGTTTAGCCAAGTGAAAAACTAGGGAGTAGTAAATGTTACTCTTGATCCTTGAAAAAGAAAGAACAAATTAGTGGATTTGTTGGAAAATCCTAAGTGAGGAGCTTAGGTAGTAGATGTAGAGTTGTTTGATAAATTGAATCACTATAAATCATTGTGAAAATTTTTCTATCTTTATACTCCTTACTCCCTAAACTTCAAAAAGCCAATTCACCCCCTCTTGGCATATTTCGATTGATTAATCGAGCTTCATCGAACCCAACAGTAATAATTAAAAAGTTCCAACTTACATAAAAAAAATTATGAATTTAATATTTAATAAATGTAAATGTTGAAAATCTAACTTTTGAATTTTTAATATTAAGTTTAATAAGTATTGAATTTATATTAGAAAGTTATTTACTAAATTAGTAAAAGTTAATTATCGGATATTTAATAAAGCTACATCTTTTTTTTAAATGATTCATTTCTTAATTTTAGTATTATTAGTTCAATATTTTATATTATTTTTAAATAGCTTTGCATAAGGGTTAGATACAATAATCTAAATTTTTAGTAAAATAAGTTCGTGACTTAAATAATCATGTAATTAATAGATGAAAAATTATAATATAATTGTTGTTTTAACTTGAGTCATATAATTCAAATGGTCTATTCCTTAACCAGCCCGTTTATGAGATTTTAGTATATGAAGGTGAACATAGAAATTAAGTCTTTAATAATATATATTAAAAGTATAAATTATAAGAATAAGTAAAAATTAATTAATTTGCTTGTAAATTATATTTTTTATTATGTTCAATAAACTATCAAATAAAATACACTAAATTTTAAATAGAAAACAACAAAAAATATATATATTAAAAACTCAATTACTCACACAAAATAAGTATGACCCTCTTAAAGTTTGATTTCAACCATCTTCATTTTGTCAAAAAACAATAAAATAATGATTATGTGAAGATTGAAAAAATATTTAAAAAAAATATCACATCAACTTCATCGTTAATATTTTAGTGATAGATGATCAAAATAACAACCAAAACAAAAAATAATAAGTGAATAATTAAATAAATAAATAGCCATTTTTATTATATATTGCTCATAATTATAGATCTTGGGCTGGTGCCCCTCCTGCCTAGATTCACCTGAGCCTTCTCACTAGCTCATTGTAAGTCATAAATGGTATGCATGTTAAAATAATAAACATAAGAGTAAATTATAAATGAAAAATAAAAATGACTGAAAATTACTTATTTAAGCAATATCATTTTCTCATTAAAAAAACTAATTTAATTATTTTGGATATTTTCTCAGAAATACATGTAATGTGTACAAGAAAAATCGTTTGATTTAACACGGCAGAGAAGGTGAGAAAAATATTTTTATTTAAAAAGTCATTCTATCATGGGCTCACTTGATGAAACAAGTAGCTTTTTATATTATATTTAGTATAATTAACGTTTGTTTTTTTATTAAATTTTAATTTAAAATATCTATAAAATGAATGAACACAATTAAAGGTATCTATATGTTGGATCGAATCAAAAGTTGACTCTATTTTTTTAATAATATATAATATTATAATGTAGTATCTGTTTAGAATTTTATTAACTAATTAAAATGAGTCGATTATCTTATCAGTTGAAATATAAAAGAATTAAAATGAACATTAAGGTGGTGTTTGTTTTTGAAGAGGTAAAATGTCTGCAGTCTGCGGACCACATCTGCAGGCATCTGCAGCAGAAGAGGTGGACCAAAAGTCTGCAGTCTGCAAGAAAAAGACTGTTTGTTTTTTAACGTCTGCAAACTGCTAAAATAAACTGAAATATAAATAAACTGATTTTTTAAACGTAAAAGAGTTTTGTAATACTGATATTTAAATAATTTTAGTTTTACAATACTAAAATTTAAATAATTTATACAACTACAATAATAATTTTTTTAAAAAAACAAACACTACCTTATTAATTCTATTATACGTCTCACATAATCACATGTATTATTAGTTTTATAAGTTTTATATAATAAAATTTATAAATGATCATTAAATTATATGATTTTTTAAATATGTAATTTTGTAATACTTTTAATTTTTTTAAATATATATTCATAATTTTTTTATAATTATATGATATTTTTAGAAAATATTTTTTAATTTATCAAATTATTTTATGATTATTTTTTATTTAATTGTGATTATATTTTAAAATTTTAAAAACATAATTTATAATTTTTTATATTTTAAAATCTTAATTATCAAACAATGAAATCATTTTTTATTAAGCAATGTGGTTTAAATACTTAAATTTTGTATAAAAAGTTTAAATATAATTTAAAAATAACAAATCTAAAAAATATTATATTTAAACTTAAATCAAAATAATTAAAATAAATATAAAATTTAATAATATATAAAATAATTTTATATATAAAATTAAATATCTATAATATAATATTAAAAAATTAATATTTAATTTATTTAAAAAATTAATATTAAAATTAATATCTATAATAATATTAAAATATTAATATTTAATTTATTTAAAAAATTAATATTAAAATTAAAATCAAATATAATATAAAATTAAATAAAACCTCTTTGAAGAGGTTAGAAGACGTCTGAAGACATAAGACCACGTCTGCGCCGCGCAGACCACGCGCAGACGTTAGAAGGGCTTATGTCTTCTAAAAAACAAACGGTCTGCGAAGCCCAATGTCTGCGCGTGGTCTGCGCGACGCAGACATAAGAGCTTTGCAGACCTTACACAGTAAAAACAAATACCACCTAAGTTATTTTTGTGAATAGTTCGTAGTATAGGCTTTTAATGAGTTGAGCTGTTCGTGAGTTGTTCGAACTCGATTCAAGACCTTAACAAGTTGAGTTGAGTCGAGTAAGATCCAACTCGACTCGATAACTTAACGAGCAATTTGTTATTTTTTATAATTCTTTAATAATTATCTTAAAAAAGTATTTCATTAAAAAATCTAAATAATAATTACTATTTTTTTAATAAATAGTAAGAAAGATGATAAATTACTAATTAATAATGATTACTAATTTATTAATTTACTAGTTTGATGTATTTGTAGATTATTATTTCACTGTTTAGACTTTGAATTTGCTTCGTACATTATGTAATATTAGTATATTTTTCTTTTAGTTAAAAAAAACAAGGTAAAATTTTGGTGAGTTTAACGAACAACGAGTTGAGCAACAAGTTTTTTTTAACGAGAACTAATCGAGTAAAATTTTAGCGAGCGATGAATCGAATAATGCAACAAATTTCTTTAATGAGCATGAGTCCAACAATACCCAATTTACGATCGACTCGCTCCATAAGCGTGCCTAATAAAAGGGTAAGGCCACTCGCTAAATTCTGAATATAATTTTAATACTTAATGATTATAAGCTGAAAAATTAGATTTTACCATCTGTTGATCAATAGATGTAGTTATACCAAAAAATAAAATATTAGTTGAATTATCACCTCTTGATCATGAAAGGGCAAAATCGTGATTTACAATATCACCAGAGGGTCTATATAAGGATGCTGGGTTTGCTAGTCAGCTCTCATAATTTCCTATCGTATTTTTCTCATCATAAATGAGGAGAAAATGAATCTGCATTGAGTGAGAGATTCTTGCAGTGACAGTGCTCTATCAAAGTTTCAGGTGATTAATTCTTTCTTTTTCTCTTTCCTTTTTGTTCTCATTTATCTGAAGCAAAGGTTTCTGTTTGGCTAATAAGAAAATCATCAAATAACAGAAAAACGAAAAGAAAGAAAGGAAAAAAAGTATCATTTTTCTAGGAGTTTTGAGAACGTAAGCTTTCATTTTCATTATGAGACTCAAACGGATCATTCATACTTTCAGTTTCTGCTTCCCTAAATAATTAATTTTAAGTTTTTTTTTCTTGAAGTGGTTGAGATCGTAAATTTGAAGCGAGTTTGAGGGCATAGTAGGAACTATGAAATTCTGAATTGCGTCCAGTTACCGCTTTAGGGAAACACATTAATACCAAATTCAGGCAATTTCTTAGACTAGGCTTCTCGGAAAACTCAAAATGTTTAGTTCAACGCTCAACCACGTTGAAAAGGTAGTATTTTGTTCCGAAAAGACCATAATGCCCCCAAATATATGCCTTGACTTCAATAATTCTAAAATAAATGTTTTTATTTCTATGAAAAAGTAGTATTTGATTTTCTTGTAATTTAAGTATGAACGGTGGCGGAACATAAGCAGGGATAGTAGGGGTTATTACTTATGACTGCCTTAAAATTAAAAAAGTTATAATTAGACCCTTTAAACTTTAAAAAAATTTAAATTGATCTCCTCAAAAATTTAAAAAATTCAAATTAAATTTTAAATTGTTTTTAATGTTCTTAATTAAATATCCTCTCATAATTTTAAAAAATTCTTATCAAGTCTCTCTAAATTTTAGTTATACCTTAATAGTTTTGGAAAAAATATAAATTAAATCTTTCAAAATTTTTAATAATTTTAATTTAAACTTTCAAATTTTTAAAAGTTTTACGTTGCACCTCAAACTTTACCTTCAAGTTCCGCCACGGTTATGAATCTCATCTTTCTATTTCTTCAACAAACTATGAAGTTTAGTTTATTAAAACATTCAGTAACCAATTATTTGTAAGCACATAAAATAGTGTTGGTTCTTGTTAATTTATTGTATACAAGTTGTTAAATAACTAATTTTTACTAATTCATTGCTTATGAATTATTAAATTATTGATTTACAAATCAACGATTTTACCGTAAAGTTTGTATGATTTAGGCTTGTTAATATTATCTAATTACACTATTTTTTTTCTATTTTTCGTACAAGATTAAATTTCAATGAATTGAAATTGAAGATCAACTTCTTAATTTTCATACTGTAAGGATAGGATTCATAATTATAAATTTATACGGTATCGTTTACTAATACCGTTAGAATGATTTTAATAATATTTTCCCTTTTTAGTTAATTAACAATTATTATTATTCATGTATTTTAAGTAAATTTCATTATTATTGATATATCTGAAACGGATAATTTGATAAATAAGGAAAATATATACAAATTATCCAAAGTGATGTAATTGTTTTGTATTGCACCTGAATAAGATTGAGTAAATAATTTTTTAAATTTCTAGATTAATTTATAGTTTTTTTATTGTAATCCATACATATAGTTTTCATGCATGGGAAAGGAGGAAATCAGGGTCACGCAGATCATGGTTGAATTTAATGGATTTTTATGGTTTCTTGCTTTGACCAAGTTATCTTATTGCCCGTTTACCTTATTATTAGCCCTCACAAGCTTGATGCGTTAAATTATTATTATTATTATTATTAATGTCGATATTAGTTAGGCTTTAATTTAATCATGTTTAGTGAATACTAATAGAATTAGGGGAATTGTACTGATACTGTTAGATTAAAATTAGGACTTAGAAGTAACCCAAAAACAAAATAAATTGCCCCCATCTTATGTACCCGGAGAACTTGAAAAACTAGAGATTTTAGAGAGTAGATAACTTTTTTAATAGTTATCTTGTATAGTTATTGACAACGCACGTACTTAACTTTTTTAATTCAAGAGTTTTAAAAAAACGGTGAATATCAACATCACACTATGTGAAATTTTGCTTGGTACTAGTTTAATTTTACCTTGCTGAATGAATTGTTTTGTGCTGTGTACTGAATTTTAGAAATAGTAGCAATTAGGTTGGTGCAAATGGCTACGAATTCAAGCCACTGTCCTTCTCCGATGAAGGCGACGTCGAACGGGGTGTTCCAGGGAGATAACCCTCTTGATTTTGCACTGCCTCTCGCCATCCTTCAGATATGCATGGTGGTTGTACTGACTCGTATCCTCGCTTTTCTTCTTAAGCCTCTCCGGCAGCCTCGTGTCATCGCCGAGATCGTTGTAAGTTTCTCGCTTCTTCATTTATGCTTCGTAGATAGACGAGTATAAAATTTTATGTCAGGTATGTAAGTTTTAAATACTATATTATAAATTTAGTTTAAAGTAAAAAAAAAAATTAGTCTTCAAACTATGTCTCTTTTGCTTTAAGCCCTTAAACGATTTTTTATCAAAATAAATTCTTAAATTATTATATTTTATCACTTTAAATTCTAACATTTTTCTTGAGTTAGATACTTATTTTGATTAAAATATAAAATTTAGAGGTTTAAAGTAAACACAACACAGCTTAATGATTTATTTTAATTTGCAAATAATTTAGAGACTTAAATAAAACAGGGGTAGAGTAAGGGAATTTAGGCTTTTAGTTCTCTTTTGGTCAAAATAAGTTGAATTATTATATGCATCATTTTTCAGTTAAAATTCTTTTTATCAATAAGATGTTAGCATGTCACACAGTTATATAGTTATGTGATAAATAAATACTTAAAAAATCATAATTTAGTGGATAATGAAGGAACTAAAAAAACATAATTTATATATTCTTTTAGTTTAAGCCTAGAAATTTAACAGTAGAAAATCTTAAAATACGTAACTGAATCTTTACTAAAAAAATACAAAAAATTATAAACATCATATAAAAATTTAAAATTTTTAAATATAGAACCACATTACGGCATCCTCGGTTCATCTCTTCTTGGGATTATTACATAAGAATTAATGATATAAAATATGGTTTTGCAGGGAGGAATAATACTGGGTCCATCAGTTCTAGGCAGAAACGAAAAGTATCTGAACGCAATCTTCCCACATAGGAGTCTAACGGTGCTGGACACCTTAGCCAATCTCGGTCTCCTTTTCTTTCTATTCCTCGTCGGCCTAGAGTTGGATCCCAAATCACTCCGCCGCACCGGGAAGAAAGCTCTTTGCATAGCACTTGCCGGAATTAGTCTCCCTTTCATGCTAGGAATAGGAACATCGTTCGCCCTTCGAGCGACCATCTCAAAGGGCGTAAAAGAAGCCCCATTTCTCGTCTTCATGGGCGTTGCTCTTTCCATCACTGCCTTCCCCGTGTTAGCCCGTATTTTGGCTGAGCTCAAGCTTTTAACGACGGATATAGGCCGAATGGCTATGTCGGCTGCTGCAGTCAACGATGTCGCCGCGTGGATTCTGCTAGCTCTCGCCATTGCCTTATCAGGAACCGCCAGTTCTCCACTTGTAGCGTTGTGGGTTTTCTTATGTGGCTCTGCTTTTGTCATCGGATGTGCGCTCGTTTTCCCTCCTGTATTCAGATGGATGGTTCACCGTTGCCCCGAGGGTGAACCGGTGAAAGAGTTGTACGTATGTGCAACTTTGACGGCGGTTTTGGCGGCGGGTTTCGTTACTGATCTTATTGGAATCCATGCGCTCTTTGGTGCGTTTGTAGTAGGAGTTCTCGTACCCAAAGAAGGTCCATTTGCTGGTGCATTGGTGGAAAAGGTTGAAGACCTTGTTTCTGGCCTCTTTCTACCTTTATACTTTGTGTCAAGTGGATTGAAAACAAATGTTGCCACCATTCAAGGGCCTCAGTCTTGGGGCCTCCTCGTTCTAGTCATCGTCACCGCGTGTTTCGGCAAGATCGCCGGCACTGTCTCCGTTTCCCTTCTATGCAAGGTGCCTTTCGGGGAGGCTTTGGCACTAGGGTTCCTTATGAATACCAAAGGCTTGGTGGAGCTCATTGTTCTCAACATCGGTAAAGATAAAAAGGTAAATACTCTTAATCACTTGACAATAAACGCTCGTACCCTTATATACGTAGTGCTCGAGTCTAAAATCTTAAGAGATAATAACAAATCCTTAACTACTGAGGTTGCTTGCTTTGTGCACTAGTTAAATTTATATTTGCTTTACTGATGAATGTTTTTACAATGGACAATTTGCAGGTTTTGAACGACCAAACATTTGCAATCATGGTTTTAATGGCCATATTTACAACTTTTATAACTACCCCCCTTGTGATGGCAGTGTATAAGCCAGCTAAACGGAAGGGTAAAGGAGAACACAAGTACAAGACAATTGAGAGAAAAGACGCTAATTCTCAGCTTCGGATATTGGCTTGCTTCCACAGTTTGAGAAACATTCCCACTATGCTTAATCTTATTGAGGCTTCACGTGGAACTGAGAAAAAGGAAGGAGTTTGCGTGTATGCATTGCACCTCATGGAGCTCTCCGAAAGGTCATCCGCCATTCTTATGGTCCACAAGGCAAAAAAGAATGGGCTGCCCTTTTGGAATAAAGGGACGAACTCCGAGGGTGATCAATTTGTGGTCGCTTTCAAGACTTTTCGACAACTAAGCCAAGTGTTGGTCCGCCCGATGACGGCCATCTCGTCGTTGTTTAACATGAACGAGGACATCTGCAATAGCGCGGAAAGAAAAAGGGTGGCCATGATTATCCTCCCCTTCCACAAACACCAAACGGTGGACGGAATGTTCGAGACGACCCAAACCGAATATCAATTGGTCAATAAGCGAGTTCTAGAACAAGCGCCATGCTCCGTGGGCATCTTGGTCGATCGTGGTCTAGGTGGAACCACGCATATATCGTCAAGCAACGTTGATTCCGTCATAACGGTATTATTCTTCGGCGGACATGACGATCACGAAGCACTTGCTTACGGAGCTCGAATGGCAGAGCACCCTGGCATCAGTCTAACCATCGTTCGCTTCTTACCCGGACCTGAAGTGTCTGGCGAGATCGTCGCGGCTGAGACAAACACAAGCGACGAACGATTTCTGACGGAATTCAAGAACAAAATCTCGAACGACGGCTCAGTAAGTTATGAAGAAAGAGTGGTGAGGAACTCGATGGAAACCATCGAAGCAATCGGAGAATTCAGCTGGTGCAACCTTTTCGTGGTGGGGCGAACGCCGGAGTCTCGAACGACGGCAAAAATGAATGCAAAGACCGAGTGCCCTGAATTAGGACCAATAGGAAGTTTGTTGATTTCACCTGAATTGTCAACATCAGCATCAGTTTTGGTGGTGCAACAGTATAAAACCACGAAGCAATCACCTCCTCCTTCAGTTTCCTCTACAAAGGTTGCAGAGTTACCCGAAGGGCATGTGGGAAGTCCATGATCGTTGACTAAAATTTGGTTTGACTTGTAAATATTGTTGGAACTATTCATCATGTTGATAATACATGACCATGAATGTTAAATAGAATAATAGTAGTGTTTTATTTTTTTTACTATATTATCAGATTGCAACCAAGTTAATACCCTTTGTTATATAAAGAGTTGACCTGTAATTTTGGTGGAACCTTAAAAATTGAGTCTATCCATTTGAATTTAAATCCCTCTAACCTCCCTAATTATCATATTTTTTAATATATATATACCTCAATTAATGTATTAGTCTTATCTTAAATCACTTAATATATTGAAAGGATATATTTAAATATTTGAAAAAATCTCATACAATGTGGGATTTGAGAAGTTCATGTTTAAAAATATTAATTTTTGAGTTGTTAAAAATACGTTATGAACTTAATTAGACTCACGTCAATACAAGAGTAGAAGTAAATTTTTTATACTTGAAACCCAAACATTTTAGAAGACAACAACTAATAAAGTTTAAGACATGATCTAATTAAGTTCAAGACATGTTTTTAATAGCTCAAAGTACGAATGTTTGGTTATGAGCTTCTCAAACCCCTTATTATTTAGATATGAAGTTTTTTTAGTGTTAATTACATCATTTTAAACACATTCATTTAGTGATTGAAAATAACGTTAATACATGTGTGACACCGTCCCACATTCAATTAGTGCAAATACATGGTTTTAACATATACGTTGCACGTTTTTTTTATATTTTTGGCCCTATTTTTCTCTCTTTATTACATTTTAGTTCAATTTGCGCGGCATTTTTATCAAAATATCACACTCAGACCCATTAATTATCTGTCAGACACATTCTCTCCTAATATTACTGATCTAGCATCATTTCTAACAAAGTGACAATAAAATGCAAATCAACATCAATGACTTCGCGGGGTTTTGTCCGAGTTGACGCCACGTAAGGGAAGGAATGAATTGTCATACGCGCCTTCCATGAGAAATGTTGACATGGCACAACGTGAGAAAACACGTTTCAAGGGGTATGTCTTCCAAGGTCCACATCATCTCTCAAAGCATTTTAAAAAAATAAGCTTTAAAAAATTTTAAAAATAAAACTATAGGGACCAACATCATAATTTAAAACATATTAGTTCCATGAGTTGAAGAGCTTAATGGGGTTAGCTTATATAGGCATATTAGAGTGTTTAGGTTATGTTTTTTTGAATGTGAGATAAAGGTTAAAATGTGTATTCCTTAACTTTTTTATCTCTATATCTAATGAATCTACTTATACACTATTGTTAACTCCTTCAGGATCTCCCCTTTAAAATTGTTGAAGCTCATATGCCTAATCAATTTTTTGGTTAGTAGAAAGCAACAATCTTGATTATAATAACGTGAAAAAAATACTTCCAGGTGCTTCTTACATATGTGTTAGACTCTTAAGCTCGCCAATTTCAGAAGGAAGAACATCTTGTAGCTTATTCCATCTCAAATTACTACATAAAAAATATATAATTCAATAAATTACATGAGAATTACCCATTATCTCATAATCTAGATTTAAAACAAAAGAAAATACAATATTTTAAGGCGTTTGAACCGCCCAAATATAATTAATCTTATATTCGATCTTACATGAGTATATTGTTTCCCCTTTGATATATATCAGCTTCAAAATTTAATTTAGTATAACACTTAATAATAAATATGAACCTAATGTAATTATTTAAATATCTTAACATATAAGAAATATATAATCTTAATTAATATAAGCCTTAATAATAACAATAGTGTATAAGTAGATTCATTATATATAAAGATAAAAAAGTTAAGGAATACATCTTTTAGCTTTTATCCCACATTGTCAAGAAACATAACCTAAACACTCCAATATGCATATATAAGCTAACCTCATTAAGTTCTTCAACTCATAGAACTAATATGTATTAAATTATAATGTTAGTCCCTATAGTTTTATTTTTTAAAAATTTTTAAATCATATTTTTTAAATTCTTTGAGGGATAATGTAGACCTTCTGCTCCTTGAGATGCACCTTTGTTGAGTTAATTGATCGGATGAATCGGCCAAGAGGTGGTGAATTTGCAATAAAAAATCGGTGGAGGCTTTTGCAGAAAATTGAAAATATTTGCACAACGATTTAGAGTGGTTCGACTTTCTCAAACAAAGTCTACGTCTACTACATTAGCTATCCACACTAAGGATTTTTCATAATTCACTAATTTGTCTTTCTTTTGAGGACAATTCCAGAACAAAGAAAGAACACTCAAGAATAAATACAATTGAGAACAAATGGTGTTCTTGAAAGCAAAATGAATATTGAATGGAAAATAGACTTGAATTTCTCAAACTCGAGGTTTTATGCTTTCTATTTGATTCTATCTCAATTCTTGTTTCTTATTATTGATCAATAGCTCCTGAGCTTGTTTAAATACACCTTGGATTGATTCTGAACGTTGGGAGCGTAGGTGTATCGGTACACTATCAAGGTGTATCGGTACACTATCAAGGTGTACCGGTACACTCAGTGTAAAATTCAAATATTTCGACCGTTAGTTGACCTAGTGTATCGGTACATCCCAGGTGTATCTGTACACTAATTACATTCGAAATATGGGGTGTATCAGTACATACAGGAGTGTATCGGTACATACAGGAGTGTATCGGTACATCCCTTTTGTAAAAATTATTTTTGGCCTGATTAAGGTTCGAAATACTTTGTAAAAATTGTTTCAAAAATATTTTAAGATTAAAACATAATTTTACAGTTAAGTAAGGATTAAAATTGACATTTAAAAACTTGGAGTAATATTTTTTATATTCGAATAATTTAATCGAATATATAATTTTAAATCAAATATAAATTCTTAAAATTCAATATTACATTATTTGTTATATCAAAACATTAAAATATTTTCAACAATCTCCCGCTTTTTTGATATAACAAAACATTTTAGTAATTTTAAGATTTTCTTTGAAATTCATTTTTGAAATCAATTTTGAAAATTACTCCCTTTTACTTTATTCTCCCCCTTTTTGTTAAATCAAAAAGACCCTATAAAACGTTTAAACAAGGTTTTTAAGAAAATAGCCAATTGATTTAAATAGTTATAGCTTAAGCTGCTAAGATAACAATCAAGAGAAAGGCTCATAATTTAACAAAGACGTAAATGATGCAAAAATTAATAAAACCAATATAAACATGAAGTTCAAATTAACCATTCAAACCATTCAAATATATCCAAACATCCAAAGCACACAAATCCAAAACCTATCAAAATGTTTTAACAATAAGTTCTAATTCAACCTAAGAAAACTAAGCAAGAATAGGTTTAATCATCCATTGGTGGATCGGGATGAGGAACATGTGCTCGTAGAGCAGCCATTTCTAGTGTGAGCGCAATGATTCTTTCGTTCGCTATATCATTATTATCTCGTATATCCCATAGAATCTCCAATTGTTGAGCCCACATAGTGGTTAAGTGGGACTCTATGGATGCAAGTCTCAAATCGAATGTCTCCATAAGCGATCGAAAGTATGGAGGCATTGGACTTTCTTACTGGACCGGCTCATCCTCAGGTACGTGATCATCGATATCTCGCATATGTTCTTCAAGCTTTGGATTATCATCAGCAGTCGGTGCCGGTACCGGTGCCGGAGGTGCTCGTGAAGAGCTAGCACCTGGTGTTTTCTAGGTTGATCGAACCCACTGATCCTTATCCCCGGACCATCCCGATTTATGCAAGGTTGTGAAATTTATTTGGCTCTTAAGAGGGATGGCTACATCAAGATGGACCCTAATCCTGGATTTGATAAACAGATTACTAAGAAGACAATGTAAACTATGGTTTATATGTATTTAGAAGGAACGTTGTTTACGGTTTCTACTAGCTCAACAAAAATGATTTGTGGCAAATTTATTTTCTTATTATATTGGATACATTGTATCCACCATAAATATAAAGCTCTAAGGGTGGAGTATCTACTTCTGGATGGTCTAAACCACCAATAGATCATCAAGTGAAGAAAACGATCGTGGTGATCGACTAATGTACTCGCACTAGCCTTAGCTCTATAATTGGTAGCCACAATTTCTTTCTCGTTATCTAAACCTTCGTTATCAAAACCAAAAGTCCTAGCATTTGAGTTGGAGTCTATATGTATGTATTGGACTAAAAGGTAAGACCGAATACTAATGGTGGCAGTATGAGACTCGTTTTGGACACAAACTACATTGGAATAGAAAATGCGAACGAGTTGGTGATAAACGACAGGTTTAAGCTGAAAGAGTTTATCAAATTTCCAAGTTTTGAGGGTAGGAAGATATTTATATTTCATATCAATCATGTCTTGGAGTGAGGGGATACGCACTTCCCGTATTCTATATGACTCAAATAGATTAGTGAACCTATGGTAGAGATTTTCACGACGACTAGGTTCATTAAAACAAAAATTTAGAATAGTCATTTTTGGTTCATTTTGGTTTGGATTTGGAGGTGAAATAAGAGGTCGGTTTTGTGGTTGGTTTGACCAACTAGACGAAGACCTAGGGTGTTTGAACATGATATTAAATCGGAATGGAATTAAGGAATACCTGCAATTTTAAAAACACATATATGCAACAAATCAATCCCAAAACTCAATATGAGTCCGCAATATTCAAAGTTCTCTAAAATTAATCATAATGGGCAAATTTTGAAAAATTATTTTGAAAACAATGTTTGAAAATCATAATATGTATAGTTTTTATGAAAACAACATAATCAAAAACAACAATTTTATAATTAAATCATTTTTTATATTTTCGAAAATTTAAAAATTTAAAAAAAAATATTGTGTTTTTGATGAAATTAATTGTAGATTATAGTTCTAGACTACAATCTAACAAATGCTCGGTCACTAATTCGAACTAGAACTAACTAAAACTAGTCATATGTTCAAAAATTAATAAAATAGTTTTTATAAAAGTTTACCTTGAAAAAGTCAGATTTGAGTGGAGTGTGATGTTGTTTGCACGATTTTGATGATTGTAGCAGGATTATATGTTGAAAACTGAGTGGATTCTGACTTAAATCGTTGAAAATGAGCAAAATGGAGATTTTGG